CAACATTCAGTTTTCTGTTCTTGAGTTGGGAGTAGAGTAATGGCTTTGGGAGACGGTGATCAGGTATTCGGACAATGTGGCCGGTCCAGTGGAATTAATGGGGAGGAGCATCGCTTCAGTGCTGGTGGTCTTTGCTTCTTCTTTTCTTGTCCACCAACATTCAGTTTTCTGTTCTTGAGTTGGGAGTAGAGTAACGGCTTTGGGAGACGGTGATCGGGTATTCGGACAACGTGGCCGGTCTAGTGGAGTTGATGGGGGAGGAGCATCGCTTCAGTGCTGGTGGTCTTTGCTTCTTCTTTTCTTATCCACCAACATTCAGTTATCTGTTCTTGAGTTGGGAGTAGAGTAACGGCTTTGGGAGACGGTGATCAGGTATTCGGACAACGTGGCCGGTGCAGTGGAGTTGATGGGGAGGAGCATCGCTTCAGTGCTGGTGGTCTTTGCTTCTTCTTTTCTTGTCCACCAACATTCAGTTTTCTGTTCTTGAGTTGGGAGTAGAGTAATGGCTTTGGGAGACGGTGATCAGGTATTCGGACAATGTGGCCGGTCCAGTGGAATTAATGGGGAGGAGCATCGCTTCAGTGCTGGTGGTCTTTGCTTCTTCTTTTCTTGTCCACCAACATTCAGTTTTCTGTTCTTGAGTTGGGAGTAGAGTAATGGCTTTGGGAGACGGTGATCAGGTTTTCGGACAACGTGGCCGGTCCAGTGGATTTGATGGGGGAGGAGCATCGCTTCAGTGCTGGTGGTCTTTGCTTCTTCTTTTCTTGTCCACCAACATTCAGTTTTCTGTTCTTGAGTTGGGAGTAGAGTAATGGCTTTGGGAGACGGTGATCAGGTATTCGGACAATGTGGCCGGTCCAGTGGAATTAATGGGGAGGAGCATCGCTTCAGTGCTGGTGGTCTTTGCTTCTTCTTTTCTTGTCCACCAACATTCAGTTTTCTGTTCTTGAGTTGGGAGTAGAGTAACGGCTTTGGGAGACAGTGATCAGGTTTTCGGACAACGTGGCCGGTCCAGTGGATTTGATGGGGGAGGAGCATCGCTTCAGTGCTGGTGGTCTTTGCTTCTTCTTTTCTTGTCCACCAACATTCAGTTTTCTGTTCTTGAGTTGGGAGTAGAGTAACGGCTTTGGGAGACGGTGATCAGGTATTTGGACAACGTGGCCGGTCCAGTGGAATTAATGGGGAGGAGCATCGCTTCAGTGCTGGTGGTCTTTGCTTCTTCTTTTCTTGTCCACCAACATTCAGTTTTCTGTTCTTGAGTTGGGAGTAGAGTAACGGCTTTGGGAGACGGTGATCAGGTATTCGGACAATGTGGCCGGTCCAGTGGAGTTGATGGGGGAGGAGCATCGCTTCAGTGCTGGTGGTCTTTGCTTCTATTTCCAGTATGCTGACATTTGTCTGCCTGTCTTCCCAAGAGGTTTGCAGGATTTTTTGGAGGCAAAGATGGTGGAATCGTTCCAGGAATTGAGTGTGATATCTGTAGACAGTCCACGTCTTGCAGGCGTATAGCAGGGTTGGGAGGACAATAGCTTTATAAACAAGCCCCTTGGTCTCCCTACGGATGTCCCGGTCCTCAAACACTCTCTGCTTCATTCGGAAAAATGCTGCACTCGCAGATCTCAGGCGGTGTTGTATTTCAGTCTCAATGTTGATGTCTGTAGACAGTCCACGTTTTGCAGGCATATAGCAGGGTTGGGAGGACAGGAGCTTTATAAACAAGCCCCTTGGTCTCCCTACGGATTTCCCAGTCCTCAAACACTCTGCATTATTCGGGAAAATGCTGCACTTGCAGAGCTCAGGCGGTGTTGTATTTCAGTCTCAATGTTGATATCTGTAGACAGTCCACGTCTCGCAGGCGTATAGCAGGGTTGGGAGGACAATAGCTTTATAAACAAGCCCCTTGGTCTCCCTACGGATGTACCTGTCCTCAAACACTCTGTGCTTCATTCGGAGGAATGCTGCACTCGCAGAGCTCAGGTGGTGTTGTATTTCAGTCTCAATGTTGACGTCTGTAGACAGTCCACGTCTCGCAGGTGTATAGCAAGGTTGGGAGAACAATAGCTTTATCAACAAACCCCTTGGTCTCCCTATGGATGTCTGGTCCTCCAACACTCTCTGCATCATTAGGAAAAATGCTGTACTCACAGATCTCAGGCAGTGTTGTATTTCAGTGTCAATGTTGATGTCTGTAGACAGTCTACGTCTCACAGGCTTATAGAAGGGTTGGGAGGACAATAGCTCTATAAACAAGCCCCTGTGTCTCCCTACGGATGTACTGGTCCTCAAACACTCTGTGCTTCATTTGGAGGAATGCTGCACTCGCAGATCTCAGGCGGTGTTGTATTTCAGTGTCAATGTTGATGTCTGTAGACAGTCCACCTCTCGTATGCGTATAGCAGGGTTGGGAGGACAATAGCTTTATAAACAAGCACCTTGGTCTCCCTACAGATGTCCCGGTCTTCATTCAGAGGAATGCTGCACTTGCAGATCTCAGGCAGTGTTGTATTTCAGCCTCAATGTTGATGTCTGTAGACAGTCCACGTCTTGCAGGCGTATAGCAGGATTGGGAGGACAATAGCTTTATAAACAAGCACTTGGTCTCCCTACGGATGTCCCGGTCCTCAAACACTCTCTGCTTCATTCGGAAAAATGCTGCACTTGCAGAGCTCAGGCGGTGTTGTATTTCAGTGTCAATGTTGACTCTGTAGACAGTCCACATCTCGCAGGCGTATAGCAGGGTTGGGAGGACAATAGCTTTATAAACAATCACTTTGGTCTCCATACAGATGTCCCAGTCTTCAAACACTCTCGGCTTCATTCGGAGGAATGCTGCACTCACAGATCTCAAGTGGTGTTGTATTTCAGTGTCAATGTTGACGTCTGTAGACAGTCCACGTCTCGTAGGCATATAACAGGGTTGGGAGGACAATAGCTTTATAAACAATCACTTTGGTCTCCCTACGGATGTCCCGGTCTTCATTCAGAGGAATGCTGCACTTGCAAATCTCAGGCAGTGTTGTATTTCAGTCTCAATGTTGATGTCTGTAGACAGTCCACGTCTCACAGGCGTATAGCAGGATTGGGAGGACAATAGCTTTATAAACAAGCACCTTGGTCTCCCTACGGATGTCTTGGTCATCAAACACTCTCTGCATCTTTAGAAAAATGCTGTACTCGCAGATCTCAGGCGGTGTTGTATTTCGGTGTCAGTGTTGACGTCTGTAGACAGTCCACGTCTCACAGGCATATAGCAGGGTTGGGAGGACAATAGCTTTATAAACAAGCACCTTGGTATCCCTACGGATGTCCCGGTCCTCAAACACTCTCTGCTTCATTCGGAAAAATGCTGCACTTGCAGAGCTCAGGCGGTGTTGTATTTCAATCTCAATGTTGACGTCTGTAGACAGTCCACGTTTTGCAGGCATATAGCAGGGTTGGGAGAACTATAGCTTTATAAACAAGCACCTTGGTCTCCCTACGGATATCCCGGTCTTCAAACACACTCGACTTCATTTGGAAAAATGCTGCATTCGCAGAGCTCAGGCGGTGTTGTATTTCAGTCTCAATGTTGATATCTGTAGACAGTCCACGTCTCGCAGGCGTATAGCAGGGTTGGGAGGACAATAGCTTTATAAACAAGCCCCTTGGTCTCCCTACGGATGTCCTGGTCCTCAAACACTCTCTGCTTCATTCGGAAAATGCTGCACTCGCAGAGCTCAGGCGGTGTTGTATTTCAGTGTCAGTGTTGACGTCTGTAGACAGTCCACGTCTCGCAGGTGTATAGCAGGGTAGGGAGGACAATAGCTTTATAAACAAGCACCTTGGTCTCCCTACGGATGTCCCAGTCTTCAAACACTCTCGACTTCATTCGGAAAAATGCTGCACTTGCAGAGCTCAGGCGGTGTTGTATTTCAATCTCAATGTTGACGTCTGTAGACAGTCCACGTTTTGCAGGCATATAGCAGGGTTGGGAGGACAATAGCTTTATAAACCCTATGGATGTCCCGGTCCTCAAACACTCTGTGCATCATTAGGAAAAATGCTGTACTCGCAGATCTCAGGCAGTGTTGTATTTCAGTGTCAATGTTGATGTCTGTAGACAGTCCACGTCTGTATGCGTATAGCAAGACTGGGAGGACAATAGCTTTATAAACAAACCCCTTGGTCTCCCTATGGATGTCCTGGTCCTCAAACACTCTCTGCATCATTTGGGAAAATGCTGCACTTGCAGATCTCAGGCAGTGTTGTATTTCGGTGTCAGTGTTGACGTCTGTAGACAGTCCATGTCTCGCAGGTGTATAGCAGGGTTGGGAGGACAATAGGTTTATAAACAAGCACCTTGGTCTCCCTACGGATGTCCCGGTCTTCATTCAGAGAAATGCTGCACTTGCAGAGCTCAGGCAGTGTTGTATTTCGGTGTCAGTGTTGATGTCTGTAGACAGTCCATGTCTCGCAGGTGTATAGCAGGGTTGGGAGGACAATAGCTTTATAAACAAGCCCCTTGGTCTCCCTACGGATGTCCCGGTCTTCAAACACTCTCGGCTTCATTCAGAAAAATGCTGCACTCGCAGATCTCAGGCGGTGTTGTATTTCAGTCTCAATGTTGACGTCTATAGACAGTCCACGTTTTGCAGGCGTATAGCAGGGTTGGGAGGACAATAGCTTTATAAACAAGCACCTTGGTATCCCTACGGAGTTGGAAGTCCAATAGTCCAGGATTTTCCAGAGGCAGCGCTGATGGAATCGTTCCAGGTGTTGCATGTGATGTCTGTAGACAGTCCACGTTTCACAGGCAGAGAGGTGGCTGCCAAGGGAGCTAATTTACACCATTAAGCTGTATTTCTGGCATTGGAGAGGGATTGGCTAGTGACTGCTGGAAGCGCACTTTGGTTTTCTCGATGTTTAATGACAGGTCGAGCAAAAGGAGAAGAAGAGACTGTGGATGGATAGAGAGAGAGCGCGTGGATCACGGACCTGCATTTTCCAGAGGCAGCCCCTTGAACTCTCTCGCTGGGGTCCGGGAGCGCTACCTGAGTGCCTACTTCCTCTCTCCTTTCTGTCTATTTCAGCCGGGCGAAGCAGCGGGACTCCCCGCGAGCCGAGGCGTGTGCCAGGGGCCCCTCGCGTGCCCTAGCCGTTGCCCGGGGTAGGAGCTGGCGAAGGCCGGCGAGCCCTCCCCACCCCGCCCCGCCACGCCGGGGGAGCTGGTGCTGTTCTCCTGCCTGCGCCAGCGGGGGATCCGCCCGCCACCCGCCAGCCTGGACCGCCAACGCCACGCCTCCGCGGGCAGCTGCGGTCATCGGGAGGCCAGCCTGTGAGTACCCCGTCGCCCGGCCCAGCTCACCCTCTTCCCTGTTTGTCTCCGACCTCTCGTCTCCCAAGTCTCTGGGACTCGGCACTTAAACGTGCTTCCCAAAAGCTCTTCTTTCTTTGTCCCGGTGCTGTAGGGATCCGTCCTGGGCCTTTCGAGACTATTTGATAGGCATGGTTAGGTACCATCAGAATCTTCGGAATTCGGAATAAAGTCGGAAAATTTACCTTTTTGGAGTGATTTCAACGTTTTTAAGACAACTGGAAGTCCCTTTGCCCTTCGAAGCTTTTCTCGTCGTTTTTCTTCCGACTCAGGAAGTGAGTCGGAAGTAACTCAGTGTTTGGAGGCAAGCAGCTTGCATGCTGGGATGCTTGCTTCCCAGCCAATGAGGGGGGAAAGTTCTGGGGAGGGTAGGGGTGGGGTTTCGGCACGGCAGCCATTGTGCTATATGAAGGGCAGCACATGGCTCAGAGGCTCATTGTGAGCCCGGGAAGGGAAGGGGAAAGAGAAAGGGAAGGTAGGTTGTGAAGGCTGGTTGGGGTGTGAGGGTGCAGTTTGTTTCCTTGTGTTGCCAAATAGTCAAAATATAATCCTTCCAAAAGTTGTGAAATCAACTTCAAAAAGTCAAAAACGCCTCTCTTCTTTTTGTTTCCTTACTTTTCTTCGTGTTGCGACTGAGGAGACACTAGAAATCCCATTGAGTCAAAATATTTTCTTGTAATATACCTTATTACTTAAATTACTTACAAAATTGACAAAAACCCATGGATCGCCTCAACATGTTGAAATTTGGTAGGCGGACAGAGGAGGATGCTTTCTACCACGGTGGCAAGTTTTGTCAGGATTGGTCTAAAAATGAGGGAGAGAGAATCCTCTGAAGTTTGCCCAGTGCCAGTTGCTGTTTTTCGCATGTTGTGCAATTGTGCCCACCATTAACGAAGTGATTCGGAAAGTTCTGAATTTTTTTGGAAAGTTCTGAATTTTTTTGGAAAGTTCCGAATTTTTTTCAGAAAGTTCTGAATTTTTTTCAGAAAGTTCCGAATTTTTTTCAGAAAGTTCCGAATTTTTTCGACAAGTTCCGAATTTTTTCGGAAAGTTCCGAATTTTTTCAGAAAGTTCTGATTTTTTTTTACAAGTTCCGAACTTTTTCAGAAAGTTCTGAATTTTTTTCAGAAAGTTCTGAATTTTTTTCAGAAAGTTCTGAATTTTTTTCAGAAAGTTCCAAATTTTTTTCAGAAAGTTCCAAATTTTTTGGAAAGTTCCGAATTTTTTTGGAAAGTTTTGATTTTTTTCGGAAAGTTCCGAATTTTTTCGGAAAGTTCCGAATTTTTTCAGAAAGTTCCGAATTTTTTTCCAGAAAGTTCCAATTTTTTTAAAAGTTCTGAATTTTTTTCAGAAAGTTCTGAATTTTTTGGAAAGTTCTGATTTTTTTTGAAAGTTCTGAATTTTTTTGGAAAGTTCTGAATTTTTTCGGAAAGTTCTGAATTTTTTTCAGAAAGTTCTGAATTTTTTTCAGAAAGTTCCGAATTTTTTTCAGAAAGTTCCGAATTTTTTGGAAAGTTCCGAATTTTTTTCGGAAAGTTCCAAATTCTTTTGGAAAGTTTCGAATTTTTTTGGAAAGTTTTGATTTTTTTCGGAAAGTTCTGAATTTTTTCGGAAAGTTCTGAATTTTTTCGGAAAGTTCCGAATTTTTTCAGAAAGTTCCGAATTTTTTTCCAGAAAGTTCCAATTTTTTTTAAAGTTCTGAATTTTTTTCAGAAAGTTCCGAATTTTTTGGAAAGTTCTGATTTTTTTTTTGAAAGTTCTGAATTTTTTCGGAAAGTTCTGAATTTTTTCGGAAAGTTCTGAATTTTTTTGGAAAGTTCTGAATTTTTTTCGGAAAGTTCCGAATTTTTTTTTTTGGTGAAAAAATTGGAATTCAATTCTGAATTGAACCACCACGAGTTTTGAACAATAACGTTTTGGCTCAACCAAGTCTACTATTTGACATCTCCATCAACAACTTGAACGACAGAATCGAACGACCGCTTATGAAATTTGCAGATGACCCCCAATAGTACTGCTTTGGTTCTGCTTTGGTCAGGCCTCACCTGGAACTATTTATTTATCGTATCAGGAGTGAGCCAAATTGTTGTACAACAAAATTTGCAAACTTGGCATTCTATTAAATGTCCTTTGATCAGAAGTTGGCCGCTTGGAGTACCTCTGGTGCTGCTATAAGAAGATCCTCTGTTGTGCATGGTGTTATTGTAGTCAGCGGTCTGTGGTTTGCTCTTCTCCGCGCTTGCATGTCATGGACTCCACTTTGTGGCCCCATTTCTTTAATTAATTTTTTTATTTAGGTCATATAAGAGGATTATATCATTTAACAATCACGTTACAGGAATAATAAGGAAAAGAGGCAATAATAATTTTGGGTTGCTGTAAGTTTTCTGGGCTGTCTGGCCATGTTCCAGAAGCATTTTCTCCTGATGTTTCGCCTGTATCTATGGTAGGCATCCTCAGAAGTTGTGAGTTGGGAATAATTTCCCCCATAGATACTAAACCGTTCTGGTATAGCCAGAGGCGGCCCTAGGTAATTTTCAACGGTAAGCAAACAGTATTTTGCCCCCCCCCCCCCCACCAATCATTGATATATATTTTCTGTTTATTGTGGGAGTTCTGTGTGCCATATTTGGTTCAATTCCATCATTGGTGGAGTTCAGAATGCTCTTTGATTGTAGGTGAACTATACATCCCAGTAACTACACTTGCTGCATTTGCTCCCTTGCCTGACCCGCTTTGGGTCCGGAGGCGTGCCTGAAGACCCTGGCGTGTGCACCAAAAGTCACCTCTTCTCCTGACTTTCTCCTCAGCCATTGGGACCAAGAGAGAGAGAGAGGTGGGGGGGTGGAGATGCCCACCTTTCCTGAAGGTAGGCGCAAAAACAAAGGAGGGAGTGGAGGTGGGAGATACCTCCAGCCGGAGGGGCTCTCTCTCTCTCTCTCTTGGTCCCAATGGCTGAAGAGAAAGTCAGGAGAAGAGGCGACTTTTGGTGCGCACGCTGGGGTCTTCAGACACGCCTCCGGACTCGAAGCGGGCCAGGCGCGGCGGCTCCGCCCTTTGGCCCACCCGCGGATTGGGGAGAGGAGAGGAGGCGGGTGGAGCGCTGGGGATCGGGAAAGGGAGCCGGTTATGGAGAAGGGATCGAACGCAGAGAACGATTGAGCTCCGGTCACAACAGCATTTGACACAGTCGACCACAATCTCTTGACCCACCGCCTTGCTGTTGCTGGAGTCAGGGGGAGAACTTTAAACTGGCTGTCCTCCTTTCTTCACAACCGTGGACAGCGAGTGGAGAGGGGAGGCCTGGTCTCTGAGAGGTCCCCTCTCTCTTGTGGGGTTCCTCAGGGGGCCATTCTCTCCCCTCTGTTGTTTAACTTCTATATGCGACCACTTGCTCAGCTGGTTCGAGGTTTTGGGCTTGAGTGTTACCAGTATGCCGATGACACTCAGCTGGTGCTGAAGATGGAAGGCCGACCGGACTCTGTACCCAATTGTTTCCATCAGTGCCTCGAGGCCGTGACTGGATGGTTGCGTGCCAGCAGGTTGAGGGTGAATCCAGCAAAGACTGGATGGGTCGACCGGGCAGTGGGGATATCCAGCTGCCTACCCTGGATGGTGAGGCACTATGCCCGTCATCATTGGTCAAGAGTCTGGGAGTCCTTTTGGACCCTCTGCTGAGGATGGAGTCCCAGGTGTCCGCCACTAGCAGAACCGCCTTTTTTCATCTGCGGCAGGCTAGACGGCTGGCCCCCTCCCTGTCCAGGGACGACCTAGCTACGGTGATCCAGGCCACGGTCATCTCAAGACTGGACTACTGTAATGCCCTCTACATTGGCCTTCCTTTGTCGGTGATCCGGAAGCTCAAGCTGGTACAAAATGCAGCTGCTAGGCTTCTTGCGGGAATTCCGATGAGATGCCACATCACACCAATCTTACTACCAATTGAGCACCGGACCACTTTCAAAGTGATGGTACTCACCTTTAAGGCCGATGTACCTGAGGGCCTCACCCCCTACCAACCCCAGAGATCCCTCCGTTCTGAGTACCAAGATCTATTGGAAATTCTCAGTGTCAAGACCTTGTGCCTAACAGCAACCAGACGCAGAGCCTTCACAGCAGTGGCACCATCACTCTGGAATACTCTGCCACCCGAAGTCCGTGCCTTGCGGGACTTATCAGCTTTCCGCAGGGCATGTAAGACATATCTGTTTCGACGGGCCTTTGATCTTTGATATTGTGTTAAGATTTTAGCCATTCTTGTAAGCCGCTTCGAGCCCCAGGGGAGTGGCGGCATATAAATTTGAATTATAAATAAATAAATAAATAAACAAACAAATAAATTATGTCAAAAACTGTTACGCTGCAGAAGAGATGCAAGACTACAATCTGGGAAACCAGCTTGAAGGCATCTGGATAAGAATCAAGGGAATCGGGTCTCAAAAAGATCTCGTTGTGGGTGTCTAAATAAAATAAATAAATAAATAAATAAATAAAATATTTGGGTGTGTTGCAATGCTCCAGTGGTATTCCTTCCCAGGTGATCCTCAGAGCTCGAGATGTTTGTCTGTTCTTGAGATGAAAAGCACATGTCTGTGTTTTAGGTGAATTAGGAAACAACTGGTTTTCCCTGTCATAGGCAGTAAGAGCATCTAGAGCAGTGGTTCTCAACCTTCCTAATGCCGTGACCCCTTAATACAGTCCCTCATGTTGTGGTGACCCCCAACCATAATAGTTTTCAATAACAGCCATTTTACTACTGTTATATATCATAATGTAAATATCAGATATGCAAGATGTATTTTCATTCACTGGACCAAACTGGGCACAAATACCCAATGCAACCACATGTAAATGCTAGTGGGGTTGGGGAGGATTGATTTTGTAATTTGGGAGTTGTAGTTGCTGGGATTTATAGTTCACCTATAATCAAAGAGCATTCTGAACTCCACCAGCATGGA